CGACTACGTATCTGCGCTGGATATCACCGGCACGCCACGCGCCTTGTCGGCGGAGCTGCATGTCCGTTATAACCGAACAAAACTACAGCTAAAAGCGGCCCTGGGGACCAAATTGTTTGTCTGTTATAAGCAAAATTCCGTTAAATGCGAGTCTGCTATATCCGATACTTTTTCTGCATGTTCTTAAAGGCGCACGGCCGGGACTAGCAGACCTCGTCCGTTATAGATGATATTCTGTTATAAGCGAGTCCACTATAACGGGATTTTACTGTATTAATACTTCTACTTCAGCATTACTTAAGTTTTTTTTCCTCTTAGTGCCAAGCAGCTCACAACCTGCGCGCCTCTTCGCCATTCCTTGCACACGGCCCTACAGTCTCATGCCCTTTTATGGGAAATTGCAGGGCGTTTCCCTATGTTAATTAGGACAAACTGGCACGCGCTTTCAGTTACGAAGACGTGCGATTCACCATTCTTAAGAACAAAGGTGTGAACAATTTTGCTACTTAAGAACACGTCATGAATCTGACGTATGTTGTTCTTAACAAATTTCGCAGGAACAAGTTTAAGAGAATTCTTAAGAAAATATTGGTAAATGAGGCCCAATAAACCTTATAATATCATGGCAAGTCATTTAACCTCCATTGGTTCGTGAGATTGGGAACGAAGTAAAGAGGTACAATTTATACAAAGAACTGAATGAAAATATCATAGACCATTCATTACCTGGAGTTTTCCTTTGGGGCATTCTGGGAGGAGGGATTGCTCTCTATGGATGACATGTTACAAATCACACCCTTACTCTAATGATACTGTACATCTGATTCATTACATTCAGTCGAAAAGAAGAAGAACTTACACTGTGCACTGAAGGAGAGAACTTTGGGGGTGAAAATGCGTGTTTTTTGTCTGAAAAAAAGACATTTGGGTTAAGTATTAATTACTGGCATAGTATACAGGCATTTCTGATATAACCTGATGGATGTATTAAACCTCTAGTTATGAAATACCCAGTAGGTTCAAATACCCAGCAGGTTATTCCTCTGGAGTTAAAACTTTAATTTTACATTCAACACCTGAAATTTCACCAATAGCTTCAAAAATGACTAATTATTTATGAATTACTCCAAGATTTGGGAGATGACATGACACATATCTATTTAATTGTTAATGGCCTACAAATAATAAACATTTATAAGATATTTATTTTTTTCAGTCAAAAAATTAGGGCACTATACCATGATACTAGAACCAAAATCGAAATAGATGTACCTAAAAGTTTAACATAGATTTTATGCACTTTAATTAGAGAAAAATTACATGAATAAATGTATTCACTGAACAGTTAAAAGCAGCCAACAGGGCAGATATAAAATGGTGCATTAACTAAATAACTGTGATGCAAATCTTTGCTTGCATTGTGCTTCAGGTACTGACAAGTTAATGCTATATTTTTTTAATTACCGGTAATGGCTTTATAATTGTCCCAATCACCTTAACAACATTGAAACTGAAATATTTCTTACTGTATTATTACTATAAGTGCACCTGATTTATTCTAACATATCAGTTTAGGGGTTCCCAGTCCTGATCCTGAAAGGCAGAACATTATATATCATATACCCTTTTTTGTTAGAGCCTGACTCACAGCTTTAGAACCGGGTCAGGTGACTAATGGCCTCAAGAGCAACATCACTAAAGCAAGGAAGCATCTGTGTTCTTTGTGGGTCAGCAGACTTGACATCTACAGCTGTGACTGAGGCCGCCTTAACTGTAGGAACATGCGGTGGTCTTTATACCCACATTGTGGACAGAAGGTCCAGAGAAACCTCTGCTTGCAGATATTTTAGCATAAAACTGAATTAAAACATTAATACATTTTTCCTAATACATTTTATCAATGCATTGAGCTATTGCTGATTTACATTATCAGCTTTCTGATTTGCCTGTCAGTACTAAGTCACTGTCCCTAATAAGACCTCGGAGGCTGTTATTCAGGCTGCATTCACCCGGCACTATACTTTGGACTTTGGTGTTACTGGCAGTCAGCTGAAGTTTATCCTGAGAAACACATACAGGAGTTTAAAGAGTCGGCATTTCTCACCGATGTAGGGGGAGCTGCGAGTTGGGGTCGGGGGCAGGGGCAGGGGCTCCCCCAGGCTCTCCACCATGTGGGAATCCTCAAGATCCACGTCCATTTTTGGACGCCATTCCAGCTCAGCTTGTCCGGGCCTCATTTTCTCCTTTCCAGAACTCGGCAGGCGTTCCTGTAGCGGGTCGAACAGAAACACCCTGCCGTGTCTGAGTGTGTCTGCAGCCCCTCTTTGAGGAAGTGACATTTGCAGAGAGGCAGACGGACTCATGTGGTTAAGGACATCGGCTTCTAATGTGAATGCATTCTTGCTGTTGCACCTTCACACAGGGCAAATGCTCGCACATAAAGTCACATGCCATGGCCAATGTAGAGTCTGTTTCATGCAAGAAGGATGCTTTTGGACCGCTGGAGGAAACAGGACTCCCTTAGGGGAACAGAGTGGAAACATGCAGAGTTGAGCCCCAGAATTGGGATGGGCATGAACCCCCCCACCATGACTGGTGTTATGAAGGAGCAGCGTTACTCCTCTCCCCCCCACAGTTTTGTGAAGCTGGGAGGGAGAAAAAACATGGACTGTCTGGTAGTCTCTGAGGATCGGATTGAGAAACTCTGCAGTAAAGCATTCAGCTGTCTGAAGCAGTAATTATGTGGATGGATAAGAAATAATTAGGAGAAGACAAATCACTGATAATATCTGTTAATCCACATACGTGTCGTGTGCTTGGCGAGTCTATGCAAGTTCCCTGGAACATGAAGGGTTACTCACCATTACTGGCGGTGGTCTGACCTGGTTACTCCCCGGCTGGTCTGGAAATCAAAACGAAAATAAAAACTCTCTTTGCCAACACAGTAGGTGAAGCCGTGTGTTAGGCTGCAAAGAGTAATATTATGACGTAGGATAGTAATACGCTGTGGCATATTCGCTCTCCTGAGACACAGCACATCGTCCCCAGTTACTAATTAAATATCCACCATGCCAATACATATTTTTATCAGTAAAAAAATCACAGTGCTACAGAACTGACTGCAACCATGTCATAATTAGACAGGCTTGTCTTCAAGATTCAGCATGTGCACGCATACCTCTGCTGTGATGTGGTCTGTGCTGTTTCATTTGCTCGGGTTGTAATTGACTGAAAAACAAGTACGAACTCTTAATGAAAGAAGTGAGATAATCGGCAACGCGCTAAACATCACCTTTAACAAGCAAAGGTGTATTTATAACTGTTAGAAAGGATATAACTGCAGCGAGCTTACCAAAAGGCTGATCCGCTAAGCTGGCTGCTGACGTCCGGCTTGGAGGCGCATATGTACTGAAAGGCACTGAGAGACACAACGTTCAGTGTCAAGCCACAGATACACAGTCGAAGAACGAAAAGAGCCAGATTCCGGACTCTCAAAAAAAAAAACACTTCAAAATGAATTCTAGCAATAATATTTGTCTAATTACAATCCAAGAATGGGTAACATACTGGTGCACATGTATAGTTATTAATTTTATTTCAGCAAAGACAGAGTGTGTCTCAAACTATTTACAGAAATCCATGTCAAAATTCAAAGGTAGGGCCAGGTAAAGGAAGGCCCCTTAAAGGTTTCAGATATTTTTAACGTAGTTTAAAGTTGTTTTTAAGTATGTTTTTCATCACAGTGACTCAGGGTACCTCCCTTCTAGTGTCACATTAACCACATCGGGCAGTTATATCTCATATGCTCATTGTAGCTTATATCTAATGGACATCACATTATGAAGCGTAAATGATGTTATCTTAAGAAAGATGTGGTCTTTGCTCGCTGTAACATGTTCTGTCCTCTCGCTGCAGCACTCTAAATACTAACTATATTTCACTCTTGCAGGTTCATGTCCACATTGTTGCAGCAACCAGGCTCGTCGATGTTGACACATCTAGCAGAACAGATTGTGCATGAACATACACACAACATGTGTGTGGCTCCTGTGTTCCAGTGTCTTATTCCGTCAAAGGTCTTGCTGCTTTGTAAGACTTCCCTCTCAAAACGCCTGACATTTTCCGAGCAGAGTAGCCGCTCTATAAATGTGACAATTCCTGTGAGCTGCCATGAAGTGAGAAGCAATGATCTGGCAGAGTCACCCAGCAGCTGAGCTTTGGCGCAGATTCAAATGGAGTTTCCTGAGGGCCTGTTTTCAAACGAAGATAGAGCATGTAGATTTCCAGGAAGTTATTTGAAGCTGAAGTCAAAAATTACACCACACTTTGATTCTCCCCTTAAGCAGTTGCCTACATTCACAATCACCCTTCCATCGAGAAATGCAAAAGCCTTAGAAATCACCCTCCCAGGAACAACCTTTTAAATATGTTTTGAAGTTTCTTACTAATATTTTAACAATGGTGACCTATCGATGATCTATGTACAGTAGACCTGGAACAAAGCATCTTACCCGTGGTGATGAGAATCCAGTAAGTATTCTTATTCTAACTCTTTGAGCAAATAATAGACTACTGGCTTCTCTTTTTAAGTCAGATCCCCCCCCCCCCCATTACTGAAAAGGCATAGAGCAGCACAGCCGTGTACAGAGAATACAAAAGCACATCCCTCTGTCTGCACAGCACACCATGAGAGCCTTCAAGCGCAGTAGAGTTTGCAGTGACGCAGTCGATAATCTCTCTGCAGGCTTGTCAAATCTCCTACCTCAGTCCATTTCTGAACCACTGAGGATGAAACAATGGTTTCTGGTAGCAGCCATCATCCTGTTACTCCCTGACCCTGTCACCTCCCCAGCGCTGAAATGGAGCTGCCTGCACCGCAGCAGACAGGCAGACACGGAAGCACAGCCCCCTCCTGCGCAGACGTTCGCACAAACACACTCGCACTCAGCCCCGGACTCCTTTCAGAGCACAGTGGGAGAAATAAATATTTAACATGGAAATGTTTTTTTCATTAAACGTTTTTCCAGTGCAGCTATTTGCATGACATTTAGACCAAACGGTAATATTAACTCAATAAAATGGCAACACTTAAAGAAATCAGAACATTCTAATCCATAAAAAAGTTGTGCAAAAATAGAATGACACAGGAAAAAAGTATTTAGCTAATACTTGTTGGAGAAGCTTTTGTTTGTAATGCTTCAAGACGCTTCCTGTACAAAAACAACTAATGTCTCACAATGTCCATGTGGGATTTCGGCCCAATCTTCTAGAAATGTTCTATTGGGTTTAAGACTGATGATTGAGTGGGTCATTCCGGAACCTTTATGTTCTTCCTCTGGAACAAGCGAGAGTTTCCTTTCTAGCATGTTTTGGATCGTTGTCCTGCTGGAAGGTCCATCCACACATGGGCGTAAATTACGGGGGGGGGGATAGGGGGGTTGGAGGGCCCCCACGTTGCCTGAAAGCCGCGCACAAAACGGCC